AGACCCTAATGACCAACTTACCCTCAGACCAATTTAAACCCTAATGACCAACTTACCCTCAGATCAATTTAGACCCTACTGACCTCTTTACCCTCTTACCCTCGTAACAGAGGGCTGATATGATCATCGCTGATCTGCTCATCACCAGCGACCGCCAGAGGGCAGTGGACTTCAGTTCCCCTTGGATGAGCTACGGTAAAGGTTTAAGTTTCATTCATAAATAGCGATGACGATTAAATGATATCCGCGGGGAATGTCTTGAACTTTTATATGCAATGTGGTATTCAGGGTTACACGAGCAGGGATAAAATATGTACATTATATTACTTTTATTGAAGACCAGAATTGATGGAGTGATTCTTGGTCTCCAACAGAGTTGCTTAATTCTGAACGACATAAATAAATATTAATAGCGTTAAATATTAGTTATATTAGTATTTGCTGACCCCAACGTACCAATAAATATCAATGCAGACATTGATCTCGCGTAACATGATGTCAATAGAAACTGTATGGGCAGCACAAATAAAATATTTCATCCGAATTATGAATACGATGGTCCTTGTATGAGACTGAGAACATGAAAAATACCAGCCATGACTTTTAGATATCGACACATCCCTGATGCTTTACAAGAATTATTCGCATGCATTGTTAATTGAACATGGTAGGAGTTTGTATGGTTTTAAAGCCATTGAACATGGTTGGAGTTACCAAGGTTCGCTAGCCGAATCTTAAATCGATGTAAAAAATCAGTAAAATTAAAGTAAATTTAAAATAATACAACCTAATATCCCAGCATAGAATGAGTATTTGAAAAAGGCACCAAAATTACATAATTCGTAGCTCTTTTTGAAACCGATTCATAATTTTTTTAAATAACGGCTGAAACGAAAGAGCCTAAAAAAATTTGTGAATTTGTGAAAGGGAAAAAATTTTCTAAATTGAATATTTTCCATTTAATATAGGCCTATCAGCGCTGTATAGACCAGACGCTCCCCCATCACCGTACACGCTGCTGTTGTCGCCGCTATCACTCGAGCTGTGGCTGGCAACCGCCATCACATACGCCCTTCTTGCCCTCATCTACGCCTACATCAACAGGTAGCTGATGTGTACAAGCGATGGGACTAGTGTGCACTAGTGGAACTAGTGTGTACAAGTGGAAATAGTGTGTACTAGTGGAACTAGTGTGTCCTAGTGGAACTAGTGTGTACTAGTGGAACTAGTGTGTACTAGTGGAACTAGTGTGTCCTAGTGGAACTAGTGTGTCCTAGTGGAACTAGTGTGTCCTAGTGGAACTAGTGTGTACTAGTGGAACTAGTGTGTACAAGATACAGGTTATCCTTTAGGGTCAGTTGAATCATATATACACAAAGATACAGGTTATCCTTTAGGGTCAGTTGAATCAAATATACACAGAGATACAGGTTATCCTTTAGGGTCAGTTGAATCAAATATACACTGAAGGAGGATAAATAAATAAGGATGACTCACAAGAAGTACATCGCTGCTTGGACAAAATATCATTTTTGCGAGCGTACTTGAAAAAAAAATTAATTAATTGAGAGACAGCTCTAATTAAACATGAAACGGAGAAACTATTTCAGAAGTTCTCGATAATATCTGTACAGAAAGGTGCTGCATGATAATATATTTATTTATTTGAATAGATGCCCACTAATAAAGAAGAGAAAGAAAACAATGGTAAGAGAAGAATAATTCCGTTTAAAACATTTGATCTCAAAAATCCCTATCAGTTCTTCAGCTATCGTAACTTTAAAAATAAACGCGTTTACATACTAAAATGCTTAATTTTCATCAACATTGACAGAATTGAGTTAGATGTGTAATTAATATTATGTCTTTTAGTATCATTCAGTTTGTATGGTTCTAACAACAATATCTGATTTGTGATTTAAATTTCTTATACAGAATATAATTGCATTGAAAATGTCATTACACTTCTTTCCTCGCCATTACCTTACGATGAGCCACTTTTATTCATGATTTTTTATTGTAATTACCCCTGCTCAGGGAGCTTCTGAAGGCAATCAAGTTATCAGGAATTGTGCACATCTTGCTTGAAGTTCATCGCTCCAAAATACATTCCCTGCTGAAGCAGGCGCAGCAGATAGGCCTGATGACGGCCTATCACCACTACTTCATCACTTCTTTGGTGCGCACTCCCCGCCATTATAGCCATTATCACACTTCGATGTTCATATTCAACAATTGGTTTTTTAAATAAATTGTGTTCTTGAGTGATATTTGGGCTTTTAAATTCAGTTTTACAGTTTTTTAGCGCATTTTCTCATTTAGGAAAAAAGGCTCTATTGTGCTCATCATATCCGCCCGTCCGTCCGTCCGTGACTTCACTGACGGACGGATGCACGAGAAATGCACTCTCTATCACTCACTGCAGTGATTACTTATCTATTTTATTAAATAGTTATCGATTGTCAATGCTATTCAATATTTTAAAAATTAATTTGGATTTTTGTCACTATTTTACTGAAATTGTTACAAAGAGCACAATGTATCTAGTGCATAATTTTCCCACACTATGTAGGCAGTATACAGGGAAGATTTCATTAAATGCTGTGATTTATGCCGCGATAAATCATTTTCATTTTAAATACCATAAAAATCCAAACACGATGTTCTGGTGTGATCAGTTATAATGGAAATGATTTTAAGCAATTGAATTTTTCTGATATTTCATTATGAAGATGGTTTATTATGATATAAATATGATATAATATGATATTATAATCTAAATATTATATCAATTGCTAAGAACCCTCCCCATCGTATCATCGCACCAGGACCTGCACACTGTGGACCTGGAAGACTTCAAATACTCTGGGACCAACACCACAGCTCTGCGTCTCATTAACCTCAGTGACGGAACTCTGCAGCAAATTCTGCGCGATTGGTCTGCTGATCTCGACGACTCTGGGAATATTTTCGGTGGTGAAATCGTGGCAGGATATTCATTTGCTGATGTACCGAATATTTTTGAAGTTCCTGCCTCTGTAAGTCCGCAGTCATTCGCCCTGTTGCCGGAATATGTTGACTCGAAGTTCCCGACGCGAAGTTCGGGACCGCTGAGTCCCGGACATGTTGAGGAGGCGCAAGTTACGAACTTCAGTGCGATGCCGGTGAGAGAACTTGACTAAGTTTTGAAGTTCATGAACTTTAATAAGTTATGAAGTTTACGAACTTCAGTGCGATGCCGGTGAGAGAACTTGACTGGTTTTAAACTTCATGAACTTTGAAAAGTATAAAGTTTACGAACTTCAGTGCGATGCCTGTGAGAGAACTTGACTAAGTTATGGAGTTCATGAACTTTAATAAGTTATGAAGTTTACGAACTTCAGTGCCATGCCGGTGAGAGAACTTGACTGGTTTTAAAGTTCATGAACTTTAAAAAGTATGAAGTTTACGAACTATAAAAAGTATGAAGTTTACGAACTTCCGTGCGACGCCAGTGGGCGGAGAGAGAACTTGACTAAGTTTTGAAGTTCATGAACTTTAATAAGTTATGAAGTTTACGAACTTCAGTGCGATGCCGGTGAGAGAACTTTTTAAACTTCATGAACTTTGAAAAGTATAAAGTTTACGAACTTCAGTGCGATGCCGGTGAGAGAACTTGACTAAGTTATGGAGTTCATGAACTTTAATAAGTTATGAAGTTTACGAACTTCAGTGCGATGCCGGTGAGAGAACTTGACTAAGTTATGGAGTTCATGAACTTTAAAAAGTATGAAGTTTACGAACTTCAGTGCGATGCCAATGAGAGAACCTGCCTAAGTTTTGAAGTTCATGAACTTTAATAAGTTATGAAGTTCACGAAATTAAAAGTTATGAAGTTTACGAACTTCAGCGAACTTGAAAAACTTGTGAAGTTTTCCGAAAGTTGATTGCTTGAACATAACTTCAGATCATGAAGCGTAAATGTTTTGGGTGTTAACATGGGGATCGATTGATGCCATTTTTCAAGCGAGGAGTGGCTTAAATTTTTAAATATTAACCGAAATTTTCTCTTTAATATCAAATGACAAATTCATTCTTAGATCAAAACGTTTGATAGTGGATTATCATAATTCTAAGAAGATAAAAATTTTCCAATCATATATATTTTAATATTTGCTTTAATTGTATTTGCTTCTTAAAAAAATTTGTTAAAGAATTTTGAAACAGTTTATGTATATTTAATTTTTAAAACTGTATTTTCTAATCATTTATATCATCATTTTACCTTTGCTCACAAAATCTTTGTTTGCAAGAAAATTTTTCCACATCAAGGATATATCTCCCTCAGGCCTCCAAAAATAATCAAAGATTTTTATAAATAAATAAAAGATCGCTAAATTCATTCTAATGTTTCAACTTAGAAATATTAAAGTCGCCTTATTAACTTTAATTTTGTCTTTGAATTTTTAAAACGTTTTTTTAGTGAATGATTTCACCCCTAGACGGAGCTGTCAGGTACGAAAGTAATCACAATATTTTTCTCCTTGAATTGAATTATCAGTGTGAATCATAAGTGAAAGTGATTAGTGAATTATTATTACCACTATTATTATTACTATTAGTGAATTATTATTATCACTATTATTATTACTATTAGTGAATTATTATTATCAGGGAATTAACCCCCAGACGGAGCAGGCACTTGCGGAATTTGTCCTAAAATCTTCCTAATAAGAAAATAGTAGGATGAGTTTAACCCTTTTAGGATAAAAATACGTCCCTATCATAGAGAAATATGTTTAATTCTCTTAAGATTTTCTTTAGGGAATAAATTCCTTAAAAGTTCAGCCGCAGACGGAGCTGGCAATTTTGAAATCCACCCTAGTATTTTTTGGGGGGTAACCATGTTGAATTCGCTTTAAATTACCTTCTGGGGATTGATTTCTCAGGCAATTCGTCTCTATTTTCTCCGGAAAAAATTTATTGAATTCGCTTTAAATTTTTTCTGGGTATTGTATTCTCAGGCAATTCATCCCTATTTCCTTCGGAAAATATGTTGAATTTGCTATATATTTTCTTTTTTGATTGAATTCTTTCCCAATTCCCTGTCAGACGGAACTGGCGCTGGTGTACGACGCGGTGCAGCTGTTCGCCAGAGCGCTCAGCGACCTCGACAAGACGCGGGCCATCGAAGTGCTGCCGCTCAACTGCTCCAAGGAGCAAGTCTGGCCACTTGGAGCCACACTCGTCAACTACATCAAGTGGGTNCACTCGTCAACTACATCAAGTGGGTCAGTCAAGTGCTTCAAGTGGGTCAGTCAACTACATCAAGTGGGTCAGTCAAGTACTTCAAGTGGGACAGTCAAGTGCTTCAAGTGGGTCAGTCAAGTGCTTCAAGTGGGCCAGTCAAGTAAATCAAGTGGGTTAGTTGATTATATCAAATAGGTCAGTCAATTACAATAAGTGGGCAAGGCAGTTCACTCTAGAAGTTTAATATAAACGTCCCGAAATAGTATTTTTGAATAGTATTTTGAATAGAGAATTAAAGTAGGATTTACATTATATTTATATTGTTTGCATATCCATATGTTGGATGTAAAACGTGTGTTGGAACAGGTATCTATCTTTTCGTTAGCATAAACACGATTATTATTATTAAGGTGAGAAGAGATAAGAGGACTTTGAAATTGCAGGGATTATCAAGTCCGGGAAATGACCAGCGAACCTGCTAGTGAATAAATAAATGAAAAATAAGTGGATAGTGAATAAGTTAATTCGTTAATTATACATACATCAATAAAAATATTTTTAAGGGGAGCATATCGATCAAAATCTATTTTCTATATTCAGGGAAGGATCATCTCCAAACCTGATACACAGATGTAGAATCGAAAATGACGACTATTTTGTTCATTTGAATTATTCGAAAAAAATAAAGAAAACGAGAAATTCATCGAAAACGATTAATAAGGGGTACTTTAGAAATTTTAATGCATCAAACAATTTACGTGCCGCAACATTGCCTGACATATAATTCGATTGGTAAAGACAATATCTAGCGATTGTCGGACCACTTTTTCAATTTTTTTCTTGGTTCTCTTGTTATGATGATTTTTCTGAAAAATTTCGAATTTTCGAAATTTCCCCCCTCCCAATCCCCCTATTTTGCAATATATAATCCAAACAAAAACGAAATCGAAAAAAATTGCCCGACAATCGCTAGATATTTTTATTACCAATCGAATGGTATATCTCTCATTGCTGTAGCTTCAAAACTGTAGGAGGAGATAGGTGTGCCGTGGGAGCAGTAGGAGGTTTACAGGAGAGCCGATAAACCGCCGACTGGCGGCGTGCGCGCTATGTAAAGGCATATAACGTAGCTTGGATACCAAATGTAAGCGTTATTTCACTCTCAAGCAACTCAGCGATGCAGAGAACGACTGCCTACCACCTTCCAGCATGACAGTTCGTGGCTGACTGAGGTGCGAGGTCATAGACTGAACATTTATAGACCCCGGACGGAAATTATTCTCATAGGGTTTTGTTAAGAGGCTCCACCACCCCCCACCCTTCGGGATCTGTCGTGAACGCACAAATCAACGTACAGAGATGGTTTTCGTACCGTTGGATAAGTCAGAATGTCAGCTTTAATAAAAATAGTACTGCTGTAAAGAACTTTCTGCACAAAAATTAAATTTGAACATTGCAAGCATGTATAATCATTTGATGATGTTTATACGTTTTATAGTTAGACTTTTTAGGTAGTAATAAAATGATTGTTTAAATCAAATTTTCAGATAGAAAGCAATAAAACATAATCATTTGATTATGTTTTAACGTTGAATGTTAAGGTTGAGCTGTACGGCTTCTCTGGACTGGTGCGTTTCAACGCATGTTTTAACGTTGAATGTTAAGGTTGAGCTGTACGGCTTCTCTGGAGTTTCAACGCAGACGGGGCGAGGAGCGACGTTAAGCTGGACGTCGTCGCCCTCACTGAGGGAGGCCTGCGCGTCATCGGCCGGTCAGGGGAAAAACTATGCTCAGTGAAAAATAGATTTATGGATCGTTTTGGTATGATTGACACTTAAAAGAAAAATATTTAAACCCTTTGAGTGTCTACCATATCTTTGGTAAAGATATAATGAAATCCAGCTCCATTACAAGGTTTTATTTGACGTAGGCCTAGTAATTTTCTGGCCATTTTCTTAATTAATATATAAGTAATAATAAAATTATAATATATCACCAAGCAAATAAGTGGCAGTATAAGAATTATGTTTCGAACTTTAAGTGTTCCCCAAGTTTGATCAAAGTTGTATTTCGTATCATATTTGTTTGTCAATACATATTATAAACACGTGAAATGCACGAATCTCTACACAATTGCTTCCTAATTTTTTCACCAATGTTAGATTAAGTCTTTAATTAAATAAACTTGCTAGGTGGGATCCGATCGGAGGTGCGAATTTCACGCTACCTGGTGACTCTGCCGCGCGTCGAGCGGTGAAATCGATGCGTAACTCGCAACTCAAAATCCTGTCCATTCTGGTGAGTACTTACCCTCAGATCAATTTAGACCCTAATGACTAACTTACCCTCAGATCAATTTAGACCCTAATGACCAACTTACCCTCTGACCAATTTAGACCGTACTGACCTCTTTACCCTCTTACCCTCGTAACAGAGGGCTGATATGATCATCGCTGATCTGACCATCACCAGCGACCGCCAGAGGGCAGTGGACTTCAGTTCCCCTTGGATGAGCTACGGTAAATGTTTAAGTTTCATTCATAAATAGCGATGATGATTAAATGATATCCGCGGGGAATGTCTTGAACTTTTATATGCAATGTGGCATTCAGGGTTACACGAGCAGGGATAATAGATGTATGTACATTATATAACTTTTGTTGAAGACCAGAACTCTGCTGGAGTGATTTTTGGTCTCCAGCAGAGTTGCTTAATTCTGAACGACATAAATAAATATTAATATCGTTAAATATTAGTTATATTAGTATTTGCTGACCCGATATATCACCAATATCAATGCAGACATTGATCTCGCGTAACATGATCAGGTCAGTAGAAACTGTACGGGCAGGCACAAATAAAATATTTCACCTGAATTATGAATACGATGGTCCTTGTATGAGACTGAAAACATGAAAAATACCAACCATGACTTTTAGATATCGACGCATCCCTGATGCTTTACAAGAATTATTCGCATGCATTGTTAATTGAACATGGTAGGAGTTACTATATTTTTCAAATCATAGACCTTGGTAGGAGTTATCACGCCTCGCAGCCGAATACTAACTCGATGGAAAATGTCAGTACCTTGGTATACGAATAAAAGGAACGATAAAATTTAAAATGATACAACTTAATATCATTGCATAGAATGAGTATTGAAAAAAGAACATAACATTTCAACGATATAAAAAAACTTGTGAATACGAAAGTAAAAAATGTCTAAATATAATATTTGTCATTTAATATAGGCCTATCAGCGCTGTATAGACCAGACGCTCCCCCATCACCGTACACGCTGCTGTTGTCGCCGCTATCACTCGAGCTGTGGCTGGCAACTGCCATCACATACGCCCTTCTTGCCCTCATCTACGCCTACATCAACACGTAGGTGATGTGTACAAGCGACGGAACTAGTGTGCACTAGTCTGTACTAGTGAAACTAGTGTGTACTAGTGGAACTAGTGTGTACTAGTGGAACTAGTGTGTACTAGTGGAACTAGTGGTACTAGGGGAACTAGTATATTCTAGTGGAACTAGTGTGTTCTAGTGGAACTAGTGTGTAGTAGTGGAACTATTTTGGACCATAGAACTAGTATGTAAATAGTTATTTCACTCCTTCGAGAATTTGTTCAGTGTTATGGACATTTAAATCGACAAAAAATTTTATGAATAATTAAGTATTCAAGGAACAAATTCTCTATATACGATATATTTGAGTAATTCAAGGATTAGTTTATTTGTTCTCTGGTTAAATTAATAATTAGAATTATTTTACCATTAACTAAGATGATATAAACCATAATGAAATATATTTAGCCATTTGATATCATGAACTGTCATTCAAATCGGTTATTGTCAACCATAAGATCCTTATATACAAGATCACTATCGAGAATCAGCATTGTCGACAATCACCATTTAAGCCAATCATTATCAACAATCATCATTATTGACAATCAGCATCACTAAACCACCATCAGGTCAAACCTATTACCATTTGCATGCCCGCAATTATCATACCGACTATTATCAAATTATCATACCGACCGTACAAACTATTATCAAATTCTCCATTATTTAACGTGTCATTACCATTCTATCTTTTTGTCGAATATGTCCCACATTATCACTGACACACACCACCCACTATGAACAAATTATACAATATATGATTTTAAAATCAACAAATATTAATTAATTTAGAGGATTATTAAAGAATTTCTGGGACTACTGGGACTATCAGGCTGAGAAGTAGGACATCTGACTTATAAATATTTAAACTTTTAAATAAAATTTTATTTGCGGCTCGCGTATTATTTTATCTGCTTAATTGATTATTAAGTTATTTGATAACGAGCCAATAATCCACCAATTACTCACCAATAACACACAAATAACATACGAATAACACATCAGTAACGCACCAATAACACACCAGTAACACACCAATAACATAACACACCAATAACACACCAATAACACACCAATAACATACCAATAACACACCAATAACACACCAATAACACACCAATAACCAACCAATAACACACCAATAACCAACCAAGAACACACCAATAACACACCAATAACACACCAATAACACACAAATAACACACCAATAACACACCAATAACCCACCAATAACACACCAATAACCCACCAATAACACACAAATAACACACAAATAACACACCAATAACCCACCAATAACAGACCAATAACACACCAATAACATACCAATAACACACCAATAACACACCAATAACACACCTATAACACACCTATAACACACCTATAACACACCAATAATACATCAATAACACACCAATAACACACCCCAGCACGCCACTACCCCACGTTACACACCTCTCCCCTCCCAGGCGTACAGGTCGGTCCTACAGGCGCTGGGGTGGCAGGACTTGGTTGTCGTGTGCGACTCCAGCGAAGGACTCCTGCGGGTGAAGGAACTCCTTAAAGATGACGCCTTCAGGGTCACGCTCAGGGACCTGCCTCGCGGCCTAGATTACAGGTTATACTCTAGGATCAGTGGAATTATATATGCATAGAGATGCAAGTTATTCTTTAGGATCATTTGATCTAAATATACACAGAGATGCAGGTTATCCTTTAGGATCAGTTGAATCAAATATATACACTGATACAGGTTATCCTTTAGGATCAGTTGAATCATATAACACAGAGATACAGGCTTTCCTTTAGAAACAGTTGTATCAAATATACATAGAGATATAGGTTATATACTTTTACATGAGCTGAATTAAATATACACAGAGATGCAGGTTATCCTTTAGGATAAGTTGAATCAAATAAACCCAGAGATACAGATTTTCCTTTAGGATCAGCTGAAATCATTTATACACACTGAAAGTTGATGGGTTAAATAGTCCAAATATTGACCCTTTCAGCTGGTAGCGCTGAAGTTGGGTGAGTGTCAAGTGTTGGTCAAGCTGGGTGAGGATGACTCACATAGGAACAAGAAGTACATCGCTGTTTGGACAAAATGTCGTTCATTCCTCCGAATGTACTTGGTGAAAATAAATTAACGAATTGAAAGAATCTAATCAAGCATGAAATGAAGAAACCATTTGAGAATTTCTGGACAATATATGTGCAGATATGTGAAGTATGATAAAATATTTATTTATTTGATTGGTTTCCCACTTATAAACAAAAGAGAAAGAAAATAATTGTTAAGGAAATTTCGTGCTTCCTTACATGAGAGTCAAAGATGATTCGATACAGGAACTTTATTGGTTCAGAAGTGGTTTCTGTAACAAGTGAAATATGACAAGACATTAACTTCAATCGTGGTATAATAACTGGTAGGGTAACATGG